GAGGAGAGGGGGAAAGCACAGCACAAGCAGCGGCACGCCTCGGAGACAACGGTAACTCAGCCCGGCTTACCCAATTGCAAAGGCCGGATCCAAGTACTATCAGTTCCTGGAGCACATACATGTTGTTGTTTTTAAATTACTGCTCCCTCCCCTGCCCTTTACTCCACAGAAACCTTTTCACGTTTATTTACTCGAGTCTTCTGCCACACTGTCCAAATAATCCTCGCACACTCCCCGCTCCCATCACCGCGGTTCACTCACTGGTGTTATAAATGCTAAACGGCTACGGAGTAGAAAGGGGGCGGGAGGAGCCGCGAGCCTTGCGAAACATTTTGTGAAGCAGCACTTTTCCTCCCTCGCTCATCCTTTCCTCTTACTTCTCAGCCACGACCGCAGAGCGCGACCCGAACCGTTCCCGGCCCGGCTCTGCCTGAGCCCGAAGCCTGCCCCTGCACATCACCCCGCCCGCTCTCTCGCTCTCTCTCTCTCATCCTCCCCCCTCTCATTCTCCCTCCTCCCATTTCCCCCTTCCTGCCAACAAGCCGGCGGCGAGTGGCGTGTAAATATTCTATTCCACAGAAAGCCACTTCAGCAGGGGGACTTCCCCGGACCTGGCTGAGCCTCGCCCGGCCTCGCCCCCCGAGTGGCTGCCGGTCCACTAAGACCACTCAAGTACTCCGCAGGGGACCGCGGGGAAGGGCGGTACCAGACCCGCTCGCTGGAGTGAGCTGTCACACTGTCACTCTCGCATTGATTCCCTCCCTGACGCCTGTGAGAAGACGGACGGGCTCGCGCGCGTGCTGGAGAAACTGGAGGCCGACTTGCTCTTGTCTTCGTATTTGGCCGTCCTCGGCCCTTTGTCTGGTGTCCGATAGTGGAGAAAATCGAGGTCGCTATCTGAAGTGCAGCTGATTGTCCGCACAGCTCCGCGCTCCGCGTGCGCGCTGACCGCGCTGGCTCCTGCCGCCGCCTGGCCCGGCACGCTCCCCGCCAGCCCGCTCCGCACCCGCGCGGGCTGGGTGGCCTACCCTCTACTCGGCAGGCGCTCCCCGTGCGCCGGGGCGCGGAGCAGAGGGGAGCAGTGAGCTAGTGCGGCCGGCAGGGCAGGGCGCGCACTCAGCGCCTCCGCGTAAACCGGACTGACTATCGAGTTTATTCGTCGTATCAGACACGTCTTTGCTTGAGCAGGAGCGGGAGGGTGGGTGAGCTGGACTCCTGCTTAAGCCGCTGCTACTGGAGTTGGCTGGGGCTGGGGCTATGGCGGGACCGCGAAATCTCCCGCTCAGCGCACCTCCGGCGCAACGAGCGGAGCGAGGTAGCGAAGTTACTCGCGATGTGGACCAGTTTATAATCGGCTTGACGCCGCGCCATCGCCGACGAACCACCACACCACACCGCCGCCCAGGCCGCCGGGCCCGGGAGCCGCGCCGCCCGCACCGCCGTAACCCCCGGCTCGCCCTCCACCGCAGAGTCACGTGAGGCGGTGCGCACCCCTCCC